TCGTGACGCAACACATGACGATCAATTAGGATTAACAAATGTTCAAAAACTGATTATTTCCCATGATAGTGAAATTACAGAAACACAACCGCAGCACCTGGAAGTTGTCCAGAACAATATCTGCTGGAAGACAATCAGAAACTGCTCAGCCTCAAAAACCACAAACTGACAACAGCTTGCTCAGACGTACATCTTCACTCTTACTTAAGCTGGCCTCTCCAATGCAGAGGATCTCATCACTGGCCTAAAGCCCATGAGGGATGCTAGTAATCTCATGTCTCAGGAGAAAACCCCACTCTCTTTTGATTGTGCCCGTACATGCCAAGCTCATCCAGAACACAAAGCCTGATGCTGAAGATTCACCACTGGTCTGGGACAAGGCTCTCTCTCCTTTCTGAGGAGGAGACATACAAAAAAGTAGCTGATGAGACTGTATCCATAGAGGTTATTCTGCTGTTTAACTTTCTGTATAGAGTCTCTTTAGATGCTCTTGTCTTTAGGGTTATACTTTGTTGGGATTCATGGCACCCTTTTTTCCTTAAACCCTATCTCTTGCATTTCTCCTTGGCATATTTCTCAATCATTTAGTTTTTGGCCCTCAGCCAAACACTATTCTCCTTAAAACTCGGCCTCAGCAGATGATGAAGTGCCAAATTATGCAGAGATGAATAAGTAATGGGTCATGATGATGTTTTGTAGCATGCTTTGAGCTCTGGATAGCAAACTGCTATGTCACAGCTAAAGAAACATATGTAGGTATAATATGACTGAGCGTGTGCGAGAGTTTGGTTTTGTGTCTGGTCAAATATGCACTGTTCGCTCACATCCTTTTCTCACAACCATGTTTGTTGGCTGTCATGTGCAATAAGAGCTTGTGACATTGGTCCACAGGCGCTAAGCTCGCTAACAGTCCATGTGCAGAATTGCTCTGTGCCTGTGTCTGCTGTCTCTGTGCATCTGCCATCAACATGTTACATGGAAGGAAATGTCAGCTGTAAAGAGCGCCATGCAGCAAGGACATTGCGACACATCACTATTTCTGTGGTTACAGTGAGGCTGCTGTAAATCTGATTTGTAATTCAGGTCTCATATGAGCAGCTTTGGACTTTCATTTGTATTTTCAATTTTACTCAGGATAAATAGAGTTGTACCATCTATTCTTATTCAACAGACAGGTGACATTACAACACAAACTGGCCAATCCAGGCTCAGGCTACCAATACAGTGAAGTAACAGTTAAGCCGATGTCAGGAAAATGGATCAATAGTGGCTGGTTGAGTTATCACAGACAATAATTCAAGAACTTGTATGAAAGTGTTTGTTGGTGTTGACATTTAAAGAAGTGTTGCTTGGCTGTATTTGCTGCACTTAATCAAAAGAGCTTTGAACAGCCAATTCAAGCCCCTCAGTGTTGCTGTGATAGAGTTAAAGTGCTGTTGAGAACAAAGGATCTAGTGTTGTTTCTCTCTAGGATATTATTCACTTCAAGCTGCTTAGCTACATCTTTTTTCCCCCAATATCACCAGTGAGGAACTTTGGATTTTACCAGTTAAAAAATGTAATTCAGCTCTGAGTTAAGAGCTGATAAAGTCTCATCTTTCACTCTTCAAATTCATACTAAATTTGGTATTTCAAGCTCACATTTCTGTAAATATATTAAGCAAGCCTTCCTGATTCACATTAACTTCAATTTAGACTTATTAAACTTAGAGGGAGTTTGATGAAGTTATTGTGAATTAAATGCAATTTCCAGAATTTAAAATCTTTTCATAGCAGTCATTTTGCCTAGACTATACATAGAATGGATGCCGTCTGCCTCCACGCTGGGTGAAGCCACCGCGAGAACAGCACCCTCTGGTGACGGGCTGCAATATAGGTCATAAATCCCGCCTCCTCCAGCAATCCCTATGGAGTTGTGGACAAACTTTAGAAATTAATTACAGAGAATATAAACTTTTCTTCCCCCTGGTTATGATGTTGACAGTAGTTACTGTAAAATTGCTTTGTGTTCAAGTCTTTTTTTCTGTGCAGCTCAATTTTTTAAAGTTATTAGGGGGTTCATGTTTTCTATAATTGACACTTGATACAGCCTATGGGCGTACAAAGATTGTGTAGCTCACTCAGGGGATACGCTGTTTGAGCCGTGGGTCATCATAGTGACTCTTCCACCGAATGCATGCAAATGCTACTGCGCAACGTTAGTTTCAGGAAGTGGAGAAAACCCGAGAAATATGGAGAGCAATTCGGCTTCAAATTCATGTAATGATGGAAGGCGGAACCAAGTTGTCCATAGTATATACAGTCCATGTCATTTTCCTTGTAGCTTCTTACAATTTTAAGTGTGTTTATCTACTGTATCTTTTAGATTCTGCATGTTGCATGCAATGTCTCTTCATAAGTCTGTCAGAGGTTCATCTCTTGGCTTTAGCAGCTAAGGATGGATTTTGAAGTTTTTAGCAGAGCTGTAAGTGGTCACAATTTTGAAGTTGGACTAAGGGGTTGATTGACCTGAAAATGAAAATCAAGTCATAGTTCTTGGAAAGAACATGATGCTCTTGGAAATGATGCTAATAAACAAAGTGATCCAAAGCTACTCTGACTGATGACAAAAAATAAACCACAAGAGTGTGCTCTGTATTTGTCAGAGGGGGTTATGTAAAAAGACCAATCAATGTTTCATTCTTGCCCTGGTTAAAGTAGATGTTTCATAATAATAGATGAATGTGTTTTGTAGTTGCTTTTCTCTGGAGGGACATGTGCAATGATAGAACAAGCTTCAATTCCTAGATCACAATATTAAAAGCATGTACAGTAATAGGGACATGAGAATGCAGGGCACACATAACATCATGCATCAGAAGAGAAGAAAGCTGACAGGGCTGAGTGCTCCGGGCTTTTTTTGCATTAAAATATTTATCTTTTTCTCTCTGTGTTTAGACCGCTTTCATATCAAACATACTTGCTACCTGCACTTAGCAACAGATTTGCTCTCAGTTTTTCTGCGCAGTTGTGTACATTGGCTCTGAAGATAAGGATACTGCAAATGTCATTAATGATTGATGATCATTGATGAATAAAGACAAAATACAAAATAGGGCTGGGTGATATGGCCTCAAACCACTATCACGATATATTGAGCAGTTCACCTCGATAAAGATAAATGGACAATAACTACTCCACAAGCTGCTCACCCCCTCCCACATTAACTTTGTCTGCTCCAGCTGCTACAACTTTTGAACCGTCCTCCATCTCCTCACCTGTCTTCCACTCTTTGTTATGGACTGGATGGGGTGGAGTCACGTCTCCAACGTAGGACAGCGTCTTAAAGGGAAATGAGACCATAGCCTATCTACACACATCCAAAACAAACTTTAATTTTTTTTGTGACACAGAATATGCTGATATGCGCAAAGTCGGTTATTGTCGGTAATTTCAGTATTGGTAAATTTTCGGTTTACTGCCCAGCCCTAATACAAAAATGCATGTGCAATTTGGTAAGGGATGTGGTGTTTCACTTCCTTTAACAGGCTTTAAACAATAAATAAAAACTGTTAGCAGCATCATCATATGTGGTTTTTGCATTGTGGGTCGTCAGAATCAATATCCCAATGGTGGAGTCAATCTCTAGAGAATTTAGGATGTTTTGATTGCATTTAGTGACTTTAATCCTTATATGTTACTGGCTGTCACAGCAGCAGTCAAAACAAAGGAAACATCATCCTTGTTTCCTTGTATCTTAGTTTACCTTTTATCTATAATGTAAAAACATATTTGAGTTTATATCTCAAGTGTGCAGCCGCAGTACAATCCCAGCCCATGACTCCTTACCCTCATGTCACTCCCCACTTATTTTCCCCATTTCCTGCCCTGTCCATGGTTCTCTTCTCTCTGAGTAAAGCCCCAAAAAGTAGCTAAGAAAGAAAAACACCCTCACCAAATATCAATTCATGAAAAATTAAAAGCTTTTGGGAGAGAAGCTGAAAGTCACTATTTAATGGGTGGTTTAGTAATTTAACTGAAACACCAGTGACAAGCTTGTAGACATATTGACTGTATCCAGCATCTGTTCAATTAAGTTGTAACTGCAAGTAAAGAAATTGTCAAAAATGCTGAACCTCATCAGGGTTTTTCCTGGCTCAAATTGAGGCAGAGGTGGCACCATCCTGACCATGCGCCATGACGTGCATGTATTTGTAAATTCAACTGACTCACTTTCTTTTACAGGCAACATACTTTAAGTTAAGAGTTCAAAAAAGAGTGTGACCATTATCATGTTAAAGCATTCATTTATTAAAACTATATACATACACAAATCAGCTGGCAACTTTAAATTGAAAGTACACTTCATCCACACATCTCACAACCAGACAGAACATTTCAGCCTCCTCTTTTTCATTCTGTAGAACCTCCTCATGCACTCCTTGTAGTCCAAGGCCTCCTGGTCTGGTCCATCAACGGCCACCTTACAACAGACATCCAAGTGCCTCTCCTTCAGTCTGTTCCACAGAGGTGTCTTCACCTTAAACAAAACAGTTCATCATGCATTAAGTATTTTTGTTTTTATTCTGATACAGACATGAAGAGTGATAGCGTTTTCAATCATATATTATATATATGTATACGTTGCAGTGTCCTCCCTAAAAAAACGACAACCAATTATTTCTTAAACTATCTAAACTATGTTATTTTAGTTTTTGTAACTTTATTAGTTGAGTGTTTTTAGGTACTACAATCTTTAATATACCTCTCCTTCTCTTCTGCTGCTTTGTGAATCGCTATCACCTCATGTCTTTTTAATGTGTCCAGCCTGTAGTTGGTTGATGGCTGTCTCACTAAGGAGGCAGCAATTGCCTGCTGTGTCGGGGCACAGTGCTTTTGGCATAAATAGCAGTGCATGCCTTCCTCAGTATGCCTGAGCCAGGTAAATTGATTGAGCCACTGCTTGTCAAAGCCACTGGCTCTGTGTTTTTGAGAAGATCTGGAAAGAGGAATAAAAACCACGTACACGTTGGTTTTGCGTTGTTATGCTCCTAATTGGAAACCAATTAATTAATTACCCTCACCTCGCCGACTCGTCCTGTCCTGCATTCTGACCCTCGCGATCACCAGTCCCTTGTGAAGTACTTTCAGACCTGACACAAATTTCCACGTTGTCACCAACATGAATTATAGCATTTTAACTGCCTGTTCCTTTTTTTCTCTGCTGTGTTTCACCTGGACTCTTGACTTTCCTCCTCGCGAGGTCGCTTTTTAAAGTACTGGCTGATTTTGCCTGTCATAACTGCAACGCTAAAAACGGAGTAAACTTTTTTTTTAATAAACACGTCATGCTTGGATGCAAAAAAGACAAGCAGTATTTACCTGTTTGTGTCCAGCCGCCAGGGAAAATCAGGATGCCGATAGCACCAACTAGCGGGAAAAAAAACATGATTCGATCCGTTTCTTCTTCGGTAGATGCTTCAGGTCTTTCCGGTGCACTGCTGTTGATATAGCACCTCTATAGTGGCGCAACGCTGCAACTGCAGTTAAAATACGTTGCTGCTGCAGAGGGACATCATACGCTCAATCAACACAGCTGGAGCTTTACGCTGTGTTGAGCGAAATCAATCGCTCTGGCTGGGGGCGGCACAAAATTAGGTGGAGGCGGCCGCCACGCAATTTTGAACGCAGGAAAAACCCTGCTCATTGAAATAAAAAAAAGAAGTTTTTTTAAAGAAAAGTGGCCAGCATGGTGGGCATAAGTTACTTTGGCCTGAACTTAACTACCATACTTGAGTACCTAACAGGATTTCAGACTTGATGGCACATAAAACGACACTGTAAAAGAAATTGTCGTTAAAGCTGTATTTTTTTGAGCATACTATTATTTGTTTTTGACATGCAAAAGCAAAAATGACAGGAGTGATGTGCATTGTGGATCAGGAAAGGAGGACAGGAAAAACTGAGGGTGGGCACTGTGGGTGCAGCCATTTGTCAGTGTGTGGGCAACAGAACCATTTTGTCTGATTTTTGTGCCATCTGTGCTTGTCTGACAAGTATACAGTGTACTATGCAATTTTCTTTTCCCCCTGTTGTCCACATTGATTTCCCTCCTATTGTGGTGGGCACTGGATAACCAACTCTGCATCACCCTCAGCTGCAGCAGCGCAGCATGTAGCAACCAAACAGGGCTGATGGGTTGAAGTTACACGGTTCAGAGAAAGCAGATTTAACCGAGAAAAGAACATTTTCTAAATGTCACCAAAAAAATGTTTTTTTTTCATATGAAAAAAAAGAAAACACCAATTTAATACATTTTTCCTGATAAAAGCAAACACAAACATTCTCCATGTTTTTTCATTTTTCTGTGTTGGTGACCGCAAGAAATCTGTTGGATTTGAGGATCTAAACTTTTCTCATTATAACACCAAAATGATACAGCAGACGCATCTCAAACAAACTTCTTTTCTGGTTGAGAACTGATGAAAGATGCTTAACAAGGGCAGCTGTGGTCTGTAGAAATAGAGCCTCAATTTCCCCAACGATTATTGTGCTCAAAATTTAAAATGCAACTCTCACATCTGCACCATTGTTCATATCCAGGCCTGTTAATTTGTCTGTGGTGCTTACTCTCTGTCTGTCTGTCTGTCTGTCTGTCTGTCTCTCTCTCTCTCTCTCTCTCTCTCTCTCACTCTCTCTCTCTCCAGGATCAATGTAGTATGGTATGTTCAGGGTTTACCCTACATGCAATTGATTGTGGCGCACTGCCATGGTTAAATAAAAGCCGCCACACCTAAGAAAATTAGTTTTTATCTCACATAGTTCTACCTCGGACTCATATGTATCAGCAGTGTTTCCCCTACATTCATTCAGCAGCGGCGCACCGCTGAATGATTCTACTCGCGCTGTGTGAGCACAACAACACACACGTTATTTTCGACTTGTCATGAGTCATCATCGAGCGCATCAAATCCAGACCCTGTTCCACTAATGTGAAGGGTAACGTTTAAGCTTATACACGGTCTATATTGCGAGTATCAGGGATAACGTAACATGGGGAAACATTGATGTCACATGTAGACAATCAAATATTCAGTGTTTCCCCTAGGTTTTTTTTTTTTTTAGCTGCGCCGCTGCTGTCTGTGAGGGGGGAGATTTTTTGCTGTCACCCCCACTCTCTTGCTGCCGTGTATAAGCTTGAATGTTACCCTTCACATTGATGGAAGAGGGTCCGACAGGATTTGACGTGCTTGTTAATGACTCAAAACAAGTCGAAAATAACGACGCATTTTGTTGTGCTGACATAGTGCGAGTACAAATCATTAGTGGCGCATTGATATTAATGATCATGTGAAATTTCAGTAGCAGCGCATGTACGTGGTGGTGCACCGCTGCTAAATGAATGTAGAGGAACCACTGATTATTATTTTGCGCCCACACGTCTTGGTCACAGCATAGAATAGTCTTTTTTTGAGAGATGGTCCTTTCTTCAATTCCCTAAATATGTTACCAATTTTAGGTGTTTGGTTTAAAAAACATGCTTATGGGTGCAGATTATTTGTGCTTTCCAAATAATCCAAAATGAGACGTCAAAAGCTGTATAATTTTTGTTTGACCAGCAGATTTCAGCATCTGGCCTCATCAGCTCAGTGCTCTGTGTAAGCATGCTTAGGTGCCTTTTGCATAATGTCTCACTGAATAATGCTGCATGACTGGCAGGCTGCACCGCCTCCATGGAGCGGTGCTGAATTCAGCATTGTTGGCTCCCCTGGTGTTTTTAAAAATGTCAAGTCCATTATGAATTCATTCAGGTTGCAAACCGCTTCCTCTGGTTACCTTAATCTACTACAAACAGTGTCAGACCAAGAGACGAAGCTAACTTGTTTTTCATGACATCAAGGCATGCAGAATATTTTGATTATCTGAAGTTAAAAGCAGTTACTGTGTTTCTGTGCATATTTAAAACACTACCAATTTATAATACCTTGACCTGCGTTTTTTCTGATTAATATTTTTGACTGCCCAGTGGACCTTTGCATCACAGCAGATTTGATTACAACACCAACAGCATTCGCTCCCTAGTAAGGATTAGGGATAGGTATCATTTGGATTAAGACGAATCAGATCCTGATTCCGGTTCTGCTTATTGATTCCAATTCCTAATGACTCCTTATTTCAATTCCAAACAGGTGAAACATAGGAAGCTAAATGTATATTTAAGTTACTTTATTGATTTCTGTTATAAAATTCGTGGACATCCAGCTAAGTTCGGCAGTATAATCACAGACAACAACTTGGTACTACTTTGTAGCAGCACATGCCCCCCGTAATAACCCCCCATAAAAACTGTTATCAACGTCTGGTGGTTTGCTGAATATTTATATTTTAGCCTTTTGTGTTTAATTGCCTTCTTGTGCTGATATCAGTATATTTTTATCCTGCCGAGCTGCGAAGGGTTTGCCGTCAGAGTTGCTAAGCCCCCCCCCTGATTTTTGGTTGAAAATTTCAGGGTTTTAATTGACCAAGAATTTATTTAGCACATACAGTGTTCAATAGTGTATTTCTTTCCTTTGTTTACATTTCTGTTACTACATCACATGCTGCACTGATCTGATTGGTTGTAGATCTGTACAATATAAAATAGAAGCACATTTACTGCATCTTAGCCAAAATGGTTTTCGGTTTGGAGAACCTTAAAAGCACATTTGAGTTTGTTTTTTTAAAACACTCAAAAGATCAGTAAATAATTTTCTCCATCCATTCAACCATGCTAGAGCCAATCTCAGCCTGCATAGTCTCTTTTTATTTGGAAATACTGTCATTGCTCAAAGCAACTTAATATTACAAAGCGTAAAGATTGGGCTGGTAGCAAGACTGTGGCATTCAGAGATTTTATCCTTTACACCCACACAAAAACACCCCCTGGCTTGCAGATAAAATGAAATGCTTTTATTACAGTGGCTCAGCTATTCTAAAAAACACATGGACATTGCTCTCAGTCGGAGCTTTCAGTGCAGCAGCAGCTCAGTGGATTGTTGTAATGAGCCTCCTCGTTACACTGAGGGGATCCCACTGTGTTTGAAAAGTAATTACCCCTGTACAACAATAACTTTGTACTACGGGTCATTAGAGCCAGTGTCCACTGAGAGATTCGGGACACTTATGTTAATCAGCAGGCTAGAGGTGCCTTACATTCCCTCTCTTTGCCGTGTTACTTACCTCTTTCAAATCCTGAAATATGTGCCGACAACAGACCTGGCCTAATAAAGAGAATTGACCAAAAAAAAAGCCAAAAGGCAAACAAAAGAAACCTCATGACCCATATTTTGTATCCAGGGAATAATTAAATTTTTGTGTTTGTTTGTTTCTTCACCTCTACCCACTAATCTTATGAAGAAGAGAGTCCCCATGCAGCCCATTTGTGCTTTATAAAGTTGGAACCTTAGGCCAAATATCCAATCAGCAAATTATAGTTGTATGTTTATCCAACTTTTCAGAGCTGCAGATGCTTCTTTTGTTTAGAGTTACTCTTTATTGAACTGTCTTGGCTACACTCATTTTGGCCACTCATAGGGTTTGCTGAGGGTGTCATCACAGTGCAGAGTCAGGTGCATGTGTGTGCGCTCGTTTCCCCCTGACTGGGAACAGGTTATATATACTCTTGGGCTCCAGGTCCTTGTGCTGAATCATTAGCTCATGTGCTGAGATAGTGAGAAGGTCTCTCTCTCTTTGATATCTATCTTGAGTGGCTCCATGAGCACCAAAAGCCTTCCTACACGGTTCGTTCTCCCCTTTCAGAGACCTTAAAAGTGGTTTTGTTGAGTCAGTCCTTCCCGGCCTTTTGTCCTCTTTTCTAAGATATTTAGCAGCGCCTTGAGTTCCCTTTTGGTTTAGAGTTTTTTTATGGCTCTCCCTGGTTGTGTTAGTTTTTTGTCAGTTGCTTGGCAGTGGTGGTTTGGTGCCCCTTTATTTCCTCCTAAAGCTGTTTTTTTTTTTTTTTTTTTTTAAGGAATGTCTTTGCGTTGGTTTGTGCCATCTGTACAAGGTTTCTCAGCATATAAACCAGTAATTTAAGATATTTTTCATTCACCTTGTGTTTCCCTATAATTGGCCAGAGTGTAAAATTGCCCACAGAAGCTTAAACCAAGACCTTGGCTATGCACAAGGCGCCTAATTTATTTTTCTCTCCTTCCCAATCCCCTTCATTCCCAGCTTTATTGCTCTGCACCTCATCTCTTTTTCCATCCTAAAGGAATCATATTTTCTTATCTGTTACCAACTTACTCCGTCTTTCTCATTACTCCACTCTAAACTACACCAGGGTGTCCCATTTTGCTCATCCATTTTTGGCTGGATTAGCAGGAAGAAATTGTACTTACAAACATATCGAAACATGTCCTTCCTGTTTTGGTTAAAGGGACAAGTTTCCAGTGGAGATGTTTTCAACATCCATATTACGCGCCAGTCTTCCCCTTACCAGTCAGAATCAAATAAGTAAAACAGTAAATTACGTCTGTCTTCTAACATTGAGGTGGCAAACATTGTACCATAAATGATGGGTCAACTTAAATATCCAACTGACGTTAGCCCATGTTTTTCTTTGACAAACAACAGTACAGTATATAAAACTGTGGGGCGACGACGGCATACCTGTGGAGATAAAGGGGCCGTATTTGCCATTACAAGCACCTATAGGAGTGTTTACATGAGTCAGTCTGTAGCGGCATGTATAATTGTAGTGACTGATGGGATGTGGGCGGGGAATTGATACAGGGAGTTAGTGCGAGGCTATTATTCTGCTCCCCTTCTGCCTGTCCCTTCTGCGTTGCTCTCTCTTTGACTCTATTTTTACATCTTTTCCCCGTCTCTGGAGATCTCTGCTTGCCGATCCTTTCACTTTGTATTAATAATATTCACACCATGTCAGTCAGTCGAGTTGGCTGTGTTTGAAAGCCAGCTGACAGGGCACAGGAAAAGCTATTCTTTGACAATAGTAACAATCACATCTTCCTCATTTTTTTTTCATTGACAGGTAACCTACAGAATTTTAAAAAGTCATTAAAGAAATTAAGGCAGTAATTGGTCTTATACTTTACTGTTAATACGCTGTGGGTGTCCAAAGATCAAACTTTTAAGGCTAATGGGAAAGAAGTCAGGCTGTGGCCAAGCACAGTTGAGGCACTTAACGTTATATGACCATGTTAAGCTTTGATCACTGATTCGCAGACCAGCCAGGAACTAAATTCTCTCTAATCTGGACCTGAACCAGCAACTGAGGCTCAGCGTCTCCCATCTTGCAGTCTTTTCTTTCCTTCACTGTGTCCAATTTAGCAGCCTTTGTCATAAATTGTTCTACATGATACTGCTCAGCCAATCAGAGCCTTAACTCAGATTGGTGTTACAAGTAGGTTAGGGTGTCTGAGAATAATGAAGCTGCATGATGGAGCCAGCTAAGAGCTGCATCACTAAGACATGAGCGAGAGCACAAGTGAGGCATTGTGTGCTCAGAAAATCAAGCTTTCTGTCATGAATGGAACGATTTTTGTCGGTCGTGTGTGGCGGCATATGCCTTGTGTGTTTTGATACTGTAGGGATTATTCAGTGTCTCTGTATAGTATAGTGGGTTTTAGTCCAACAATAAAGCCCTGTCAAGGTGAACAGCTACAGTGAGGCAAGTCACATGGCGGGCTTATTATGAATCAAATGAAGAACAAGTATTCTTGTAATCACTGAAATTACTGCTCCCTTTATTTGAAGTAGTCCTGTGTGCTCATTAAACGATTTCCGTCAGAGGAAATGTTTTTAATTTGCGGTAAGGTATGATAAAGAATCAAACCGCTGCATACTAAAAGTAGGGGTGTCCCAATATGATATTGATATTGGATTTTGGCAAAAAAACAAATATCAGATTATATCGGCCTGCATCTAAAATCCTATATATCAGCACTCCGCAGTACCTCTATCTAGCAGCGCCCCGATCCAGCAAGCTGATCCCACAAAATCACAACAACTGTGTATACTAAGGTACTAACAAAGTAGCAAGGAGTAGGAGTGATGTTGGCCTTGTGGTATTTTTTTTTAAGTCTGAAAAAGACGTTGCAGCTGAGTGAAAAACATGTCATGCACAATTTTGTGCCAATATCAGAGCAATATCGGTCAATATTGAAAGCTACAATATCAGTATCGTATCGGAAGTCAAAGAGTTGTATCTGAACACCCATAACTAAAAGTTATTACAACAACCATTCCTCAGACACATCTATTGATTACTCATTATTGATATCAGTATTGGCCCTGAAAAACAAATTTTGGTCTATACTTAAAAAATAAAAATATCTGTTTTTAACTGGTTATAAAACAGACTGAATGTCAACCGTGAGACCTCTTTGTGACCTATAAAAACAAACAAAACCATTAGCAAAGAGACCGACTATTTCTTTGTTGACATGTTGATAGCCTGTAATGGCTTCATGTCGGACAAGGTGATTTGCTGCATGGAGAAGAAAACCCATTTTTCATTCCTTTTACTGGAGCCAATTAGATATTTAACTGTTATAAAAAAAAGTAGGAGGAGATGATTTTGTCAGAAAACACAGTTTCCACATGTACAGGAGAAGATAGCAGAGATTGGCGCAGGCGTCACTTTCATCCACTGGGGGGCATCAAGGTCAACAGAGAGCAAGGGTTCCTGACAGGAGCTTTAAAGTTCTGACTTTTTAATTGTACCACATTGTTTTAACTTAAATGCTAGGTAGCTTTTACAGACGGTATTACACCAAATTTTTATTCAATTTTTTATATGAAAAGAGAAACCTTAAAAGACCATTTACCTCCATAGAATATCAATGCACTTCTAAGGTTTCCATTTAAAGTAACAGACAATAGGTAAGTAATGTTAGAGGGAAATTTCACATCATTATTGAGTCTCTTTAAACTTCAGTGAGTTAAACTCCTGAACTTTCATGTTGTTATAGGCTGTTTATTTATTCTAATTAGTTTGCCTATAACAATGTCTTTCAAATAGAGTTGCAGAAGTGTGAACAGCAGTGTTGAGAGGCTTTTTCAGAACATAATGGTGTGTTTGAGTTTGACAGTTCACTGGCTGTTACTGTGAAAACAGGAGGAACAATACAACAGTGGCACCATCTGTGTGGCGATTGTTGCTAGACAAACACATGAAGACATATGTCTGCACGCCCACTCATGCAAATGTCATAAATAGAAAAAAGAAAAATTCAGTTAACTCTTTCATCCACTTTTTCTTCTTCCTCATACTTACATTCACTCATTTGTTTTAGAGAGTTAGCAGTGAACAACTCCAAAATTCAACTTTAACTGAATCAAAAAAGAAGCTGTAAAAAAATGTCGGTTACAACCTTGACCTTTTTTTGTAGCTGCATACCACATATTGACAAGCTGGCAGCAGTTTCCACAGTTATGTGAAAGAACTCTGTACCCCCCCCCCCCCCCCCCAAAAAAAAAAACAGCACTTCTGGATTTTTATCCACCCAAAAGTTTCCAAACTTGAAGGATGTGGCAGATAAAGGACATGCGCCACATTCAAGGTTTGTAAATTCCCAGAAGGTAAGGGAAGAGGAATATTCCTGGAATCACAACATCCTCCTCATCTGAGAAAAAGATTGCTCCAGGCTACACCCACTTTTACAATCCTCTCAAATAAACAGCCTTTTTTTGTTTGCCAAATTCTTCATAAACTAAGAAAAAAATATCAGTGACTTTAAAATTACACCGTCACTTTGCGTCAGCTTCAATCCAGCAACCTAGCGACCTTAAAGTAATCTGTACATTATGAAAGAGAGAGAGAGAGAGAGAGAGAGAAAGAGCAGGGGAGCTAAATTCTGTATGGTGTAAGAGGGGGAGTGTTGTGCTCTGAGAAGAACATGTTTCTTGGTGAAAAATAAAAAAAACATGATGGTTTTGACTTGAGGGATCACAGCTCAGGATTTCCTCTGAATTTAAATCAGGAAGATCATTTCACACCAAACTCACAGAGCCACTGAACTTCACTACTGAGATACTGAACATAGTAAGAGACCAATCAACACTCGGGGAACCACAGTAGACCGGCTCTGGACTTTGGGCTGTCTTACCATTAAAAGACTTGTTCTTATGAACTGGAAAGTTGGCAAACCGCGATGTTTCACCAGAGAATCATGTTTAGGAGGATTTTTAGATCTCCTGAATATTATCCAATATATCTAAAAATATGTAAACATATCTCCTGCTAAAAGATTTTGGCAATAATTTGGATGACTACTGGGACATTATCTACAACAGCCTCATGAATCGATTTGCATATCTTTCTTTACTCCTTTTTCTTTTTTTATGAACATTGAATAACACTCTTGAGTGTGTTTCTGTCCTGTTTGTGTGTGGGATTTGTTTGTATGTTGATTTAAGTTGTAAATATGCATAATAAAAACTCTTAATAGCAAAATATTGAGCATGACACTCACTCAAAATTTCACTCATGACTTAGAAGTATTTACTAATTTACACTTATGAATTGAAACAACATCTGTTGAATGGAGACTCTGGCTGTAAATCATAAGAAAACCTCACTGCAGACTTTTCAGTACACCTTTGCTGTCTTGCAGTGTTGAACCCGTGACCCTTATTAAGATGTCTTAATTACAATGGTTTCCTGGGAACCAGGGGACACATCAGAGGTGTCCTTTGCAGCGAATAGGGCTTGAACTTTATCATGTAGAGAACAGCTAGTTAACAGCGAATCATGTGGCATTGCTCCATACACGCTGGGGAAAAGGTCAGTGCACCTTGCATCTCCAGCAGCGCTGACCACTGACATCTCCTCTCCAGGCACATGTAGTGCAGCTCTGCACAGCTGCTTGACATCAGAACTTGTAGATCATTACTTCTCAACAGGAAGCCGTTGGTTTAAGGTTCAGTTTGGTGTCACAGTTTTATTTCTACACTTGAAAAAAAAAACATTTAGAAAGTTCTCCCCTCATGTTTGCTTCAGACTCTGTCCTACTTGTATATTTCCCAGAACGTCATCAGTCAAATATTTATTGTGTTGTGGATGTTATGATTGGCAAGTGTCTGACAGACCTGTGATCATCCAGACATCCCTGCTGCCTGAACGACAACAAACTATGAAAATTTGATATGTTATGGCGATAACCTGATTGTGTCATGCAGACATGTGGTTAAAATATCACCATTGTGATTGACATTTCTGACAGAAGTGTGAAGAAAAACCGTCTCGGACCTTCTTTTTTTTACATTTAAGTTACCAACTGAAGCAGAAGAGGTTTTTCTTTTCAGTCTCAGGTTTAAAGTCAGTTCACCTCAGGGTGGATTATTTGCATAAATACTTTTATTTTGAGAATAATGGAAGCCAAAAGAGTCACACCTATTTGTATAGCTCATTAAAAACAGCATGAGCTGACCAAAGTGCTGCGCAGACAGAGAAATAAAACAGTTTACAAAGACATGAAAGGTTGCAGTTACAGCCAATACTGTAAACATATTTAAGGGACACATGCTGGCACAGGCAGTTTAGGTCTAAAAGCCTTTAAAACACTTGAAAACTGAGTAAAAAGCTTCTGCCTTCCTTTGAGGAGAGATTAAATGACTCATCCTGATAGAAAAGCTCCAGAAAGTATCAGCAAATATTCAATCTTTCATTCGTCCAGGGTTCAGGATTATGTCTCCATGTTGGCAGGGTTTGTGTTTGGGCCGCCTGCCAGCAGAAGAGCAAGTCGCATCAGTCACTGTCAAGATTTAAATTACAGGAAAGAATGGGTGAAAAAAAAAACCTCCAGTGGAGGCACGGAAATGTGAAACTGCAGAGGGATTCCCAATCAGTTCATCTCTCTCAGCTTTCACTATGTTAGATTTTCTTAGTATTCAATATTAAATTGTAATTTTAAATCTAATGAACTTGTCATCAGCGAATCAGCCAGTGTTGTCTTAACCTCCTGATCACAAACCTTTTTTCTTTCTATTTTACCGAGTCATGACCCTCTTAAATTTGTCAGAAAAAGTTAAGTGTATATGTGCAGTCATGCTCAGACAATGACAGTGACTGAAAGTGTAATTTTGACATGATAAATCACAGCGGCTGGGGAACGTCTAGTGATATCTATGTATGTCAGACGGAATGTGAAAATGTCTACCCTACTGAAAAGAGACTTTTTAGAAAAAGTTCAACTAACTGATACTTCCTGACTGATGAGTCGAGATGACGACTGTTGTGAATTGGCGCTATAGAAATAAAATTTGATTGATTGATTGATTACAAAAAATATTTTAAAAAAGCCAAAGTCCTAAAACCCTGGCCGAGGTACAGAAGGCAGTTCCCAGGCAGTGCTGTACTTTGTGTTTTGATCCTCTTATCTAACAGGCTTTTTGTCCTTAAGCCAATATCTACAGATTTGCAAGGTAGATTAATTTTCTATGCTGTTCAAGGTGACACAGTCATTGTACTTGGACAGAATTTGTGATGACAAGTAGCACTTCACTAGCATGAGTGTGTCTTTGCATCAGTTTCTAAGTGGTGGCTTTCTCTTGGACTTGTTGCACTTGTCTCATTTTATTTCCTCGTGCTAATCTATTAGTGAGAGGATCTAAAAAAAACCCTGCTCTTATTCATTCATGTTGATCTCATGGTTGACCTTTCCAAGGATGCTGGAATCCAAGCTTAAGTGCTCCTTTACACACGTTGTTATCAATGTCTGTTTTTGTTAGGTGCACAGAGATAAATATAGTACAAATTTAATGAGTAATAAAGTTGATGTGACCCTGGATATGTTGTATAAAGGAGTGTGAACGCCACAGCGAGTGTACCTGATCCTCTGTGCGCACAAAGACAGATCTTGTTCGTTGATATCATTGTTCGGCATTATGAAGTGAAAGAGAGCTCACCTTTCAGCTGACCTGGTCTAACATTGTGTTCCCACTTTGTCCTGTTTTGCCCTTGTGTACGAAAGGGTTTTAGCACCATCCACTTCATCCCTGTGTTGTTTCCCCTCTCTGAGCACCTGTTGGGGTCTGAGCAGGACGTGGGACTGGCCTACTTATCAGAGTGGCCATGTCGACAGTTAAATCTGTAAAAGGCCTTTTAGATACAGACTGGTGAAGTATGCATGCATGTTTTAGCCTGAATACGCTGAACATTGTGCTGAATATGCAGTGTTCTATCCTGGTGTTTTCCAATTTACATCATATTGACCTTTCTGTACGTCTGTGTCTGGATTTGTACAGCTGGTATGATGAAAATGAAAATGAAAATACATCCCCGTACATATTTCACACATGATACAATCTCAAAGCCTGTGGGATGTCCTTTTACAAGGTTGCAGTCTTCAATTTATCTCCACAGTGACATCTGTACAAGTGTTGCCTATTACTTGTTTGTAGACATCGGCTCTTTAAAGATGCCGCCTTTGAAGGACCCAGCTTGCAAAGTAGGCAGTTTACTAGGGACTCAGCTTCCAAAAGACAGAGTTTACAACAAATGAAGCTCATGAGGAGTCCAGATTACCCTAGCCTAAACTTACAAAGGATGCTTTTTAGGAAGGATGAAGTTTTTCAAAGGAAGGATAAAGTTTGCTTACAAAGGACAAAGCGAAGACAGAATGAAGTTTACAAAGAATGAAGCTTGCTAAGTATGAAGCTTTCTTATGAAGGATGAGACTCATGGAGGACATGGCTCCCAAAAGACTAAGCTTTAAAAGTGTTAAAAGTTGAAGTAATGAGATGGTCCAGTCTATGGAGGATAGTCTTGGGACACAAAGCAGAAATGGAAATGATATATTAGTATGTCTGTTGAGGCAAACCAAGAACCATTCATTTATTCAGTAAACTAAAGGGCTTTACAGAGTAGAAAACAATGCAGTAACAATCATATAAATAAAAATCATGACACTATGCAAACATAAACATTCAAATATGAAAGAAAAAGATACCAAAATGTTCAATCGAGATAGAAAAGAAAGGAAAAGAAAATATCGAGAATATGTTCTTGGAGATGAAGTGGATCATCTTTCATGAATAGCTTAGCCTTGTGTCTGCAGCACCATAGAAGGCTTGTGCACATTTTTATTGATTTCACAGCCTTTAGGGAGCTGAGAAAGAGAGGTGGGGGGTTGAGTTTTCAGTCTGGGTCTACAGTCTGAATGCTGTGCCATTCAAATGTCAGTTCAAACCTATAATCAGCTTTTACAGTAAAACTCTGTTCTCAATGAAGCAGAGCTACAAAGTGAAGCCCTGGCAGAGTTACATGGCAGTTTTCCAGGTAATCATTCCAGGGAGACAATATATTGAAGCATGAGTTTGAGTGTCCTTGAGATTCTGAGGTTCCCCCGCTGTCTGCCCCGTCATCATGCACAAGACAGTACGTCTCTCACTGCGGGATATGTAATCAAATGGCTTGTTGCGTGCTGTGCACCTGACTTGATGTAGCTTATTGATGACACAGACTCAGCTTGCTCTTTTTTTTTTTTACAGGGCCTCATCTTTGAGCACTTTTGCACTTGAAAAATTTCAGATACAAATGGTGATGACTTATGCTGTGTTCCAGTTACCTCAGAAATCAGATGTCAGAGCTGGGAACGACGTTACACCCAAGTTGACGGTGTTCCAGTAAACAAGTCGGAAAACAAAGATGGACACCTGTTGTCAGCTGTTGTTAGCCATTGTCAGCTGTTGTTAGTGGTTGTCAGCTGTTGTCAGCTGTTGTCAGCTGTTGTCAGTTGTTGTTAGTGGTTAACGACAGTTGTAGACATCCCATAATACAGTATTTCACTCTTACAAACATCATAGCACTGTGTTCACAATTAGACGTTGGGCAGTACAACATATACCACTTATTTAATTTCACAAAAATAAAACAGAAGTGTTAATAAATAATACATAATGAGAGCTTTCATTGTTACTCTTTATTTGATGAACTGCGCTGCCATCTTGGAATATGACATTGTCGTCAAGTCAGGGTTGGTGAGGATCATCCGACTTTCCGAGTCAGAAATCTGACTGTTGGGGGGTGTTCCAGATGAACTTCTGGAATCCTGACTTCTGAGTACAATTGGAATGCACCATTAATCATACACATGGTTATTTTTATAATGAGGAAAAAAGGGGGATTTTAATCTGCAAAGTGTATGTAACAAACTAGGACGAGGATCTGTAATGTTGCTGTAGAAAAACTAGAAAAAATGTTCCCACAGAAATAGCTGGACATCTTGAGGAGCCCGTAGGGCATGAAAAACATACACATACCACATGGTAAAAGTTCACCCTAACAACCTCTGCCAATCTGTCACTTGACTTAAAGTGACCATGTATATGTCATTTTTATATAGCTATCTATTCCTCTACCTTCACTTAGACTGAAATCATGTGCTGTGTTATTTTTCCAAATGCTCTATGTGTCATTTAGTTTGTAGACGTATACCCAATAAAGTGAGCACTTGGTAACAAAATAATATATGCACATGTTAAGTGTCTTCCTGATGTGTTACTGACTGGAAAATTGGAGGATATTATTGGCATGAAGAGGCGACAAATCAGCAACACCGTGTACTTATGTACTTATTAGAAAACTGCACCGTCTGTGTGGAGAGCAGCAATCGTCCATTAGTGAGAAATATACTGAGTCTAAATTTGGAAGCTGGGGCACTCCTCTGGAAGGCAAAACAGGACGAATGAGGACCAGAGGATCCCCAGGGTAAGAAAACATCTGCCAGCCAAAACAAAACAAGGGGGTGGTGAAAATGTGCATACGTGTAAGTGTGTGTACGTGTAAATGTGTGTATGTGTACAGTATTTAGGCCCGCAGGTCAGACACTGAGCCTCAACTGCTGCTCACTCATTACTATCATGTTTGGATGAAACGCTCTCTGTGCATTAGTGAGTTTTATCTCCTCCTGTCCTGCAGAGGTACCACTCTTCATCTTCTTGGAACCCGCATCTTGGGACAAGTCCCGCCCCCGAGCTTAAATGTTCAGAGTCTCTACATGTAGAGATTGAAATTGGATTGGCAGGGGAGTTTTTGTACAAGTTACTGATGAATTCAGCCATGTTTTTTTTTTTTTGTACTTTTGACTGAAAAATAAGAGAAGAAAGGAGAAAAATAAAACACAGGGTCAAGCCTAGGACTGGGCGATTATATGATTGTGATTAATGATCGTGATAAAAAGTGACAACAGCAAATCGGAGTCAAGCTTTTCCTGCTCAGTTCTGTAAGTTGTCGAAGACGTAAACAGGAGAAGTAAACAGAAAGACCGAACGTGGAGCTAAACGAGAGCTTAGGCCGGCACAATAGATGTCAGCCGTGACTTTGAGCCACCCTCGAAAGATGACATTGTTGAGAAGAAAAGTTATTCAACGTCGGTTGTGTGGCGGTGGTTCAGGTATCTCCAAAGTGACATCGAGCAATTAGGCCGATGTGTAAGGTATGTTGGCGGTCGGTGTGCTCAAAAACCGGCAACACAACAAATCTGTTTTATCATTTAAAGAAGTACTTGCTGAGAAGTACTTTACATTTTAACGGGTCTTCATTATCCCTGAGGGGGCGATTTGTTTACTTGTGGTCTTGCATACCTGCAAAAACACTCAGTGCTGTAAACTAGTTCACTGTATTATTTAGTATTTATCTACATTTGTTGTACCATTGAGTTAAAATGTTTTTTTTCATTATTGTTTTCTAAGTTTATCTTATTCAATTTGCTTTGTTATTTACTTTGTATGTTAATAAAATGATAAAATTAACCTCTAGTTTCTTTAGTTTTAAGTACAGATGCTTTCAAAATGACCGTTTAAGAAAAAATCGTGATAACACTCGAGTTAGGATGATATGACAAAACATATTGCAATCCTTTATTTGTTTAATCGCCCAGTCCTAGTCAAACTTTTTGAAGAGGAGACATAAGGAAAAAGTTTAACTAAGTATAAACAAACAAAGAAACATAAGGAGGAATATAAGTGCCAGTGAGAGGAGTTTTTTATCTTATTCTCTTTGATGCTGACTAAAATATTGTCCAAAAGTGCTGGTTTCGCCGAAAAATATTGCAGAGCCTGATATTTTATTTTCTGTTTTGTGTACACTTGAAATGGTGAGATGATTAAAAACCCGAGGAGAGCAGCAAACACACACACAGACAAACAGCAGAGCCTGTGAATGTCCTGGTCCTCTCATGTTACCCACTTCGCTGATTCTGCTACACTCCCTGAAAAGAGTTCATTAGTTTTTACTCTTGAACAGTCACTGATATGATGCACAGAATTACCCTCCGTGATGAACGTTTTGTTGTTAATAACCGCTCTCCAACATCTTTTCTCTCTACGGAGATTATAAAAATAATGAGAAACATAAGTCACTGCTGTCAAGAGTATTTTTAGCCTGAAGTCACAAGCAAATATGAAATAACATCTTAAGCGTTTTGCAGTATGTAATGAATATTATTAACAAGCAAAATGAGGCTCTAATTTTACCAAATGAAGGGAAATATACAAGAGAAGATGAGAAGAGAAATGCACATGAATTCTACAAGTGTTTTTTTTTTTTTTTTAACTTTAATCCAGTGCCCTGTATCAGAGCAAAAATTACCATTAAAGCAACATCAAACAGATTTTTTTGACCAACATTTTAAATTGCCTATTTGCAGTGATATCCATCTTACATTTGAGGTTTCAGACATTGAGTTAGCGGTGGATTATTTTGCCAACACCTTAAACAAGCATGAGCCATCAGAACGGAAAAAAAACATCAAAACCTTGGATTGCAACTGATCTATCAGACTTATTTAAGGAGAAAAACACAACTTGGTCTCCCAGTGGACACCTGGACTTTGGTCTAGACCTGATCTTTTTAGAAAGTACTTTAATAACACCTGATGACATTGAGAAAGTTCCTGCAGCCTTAAACAAACATTATGTCACTGCTGGTCACCTTTTTGAGAGTCAAGCCTAGATTTTTATAACTTGGGGCATTTTTTCTTTTTTTGTAATTTTCTCACTCCTCATGGTTGTTTACATTAATCAGTCTTTATTTGGTCAAGAATATTCTATTTGTAATAGTTTCTTGGAAATCTACTACAAATAAAAATTCAGACCATTGCAATTTAACACTCTCTATTTCAACGACATCAACGCAGATAACCAGAAATTTTAACTTCTTTCCATCCTGTAACTTTCCCAAAAAGTTTAGAGGATGACTCATATTATTCTGCATCTCCACATAAGAAAGGTAACACAGACATTCTCAACAATTTCAAAACTCCTAACTTATTGAAAGTCCTATAATTATTAATCAAGGATCAAATAAAGGAATTTCTATCAAGCTAATGTTGAGTCTGGTGTTAGAATAAGGCACAGTAGTGTTACTGCAATACCAAGACCGCAAGTATTATTACACTTTTTGTTTATTCATCAGAAGTGTTTGATACTGTGGTAGGGTTGCAGCTCTCGAATATTTTTATTAATTGAGTATTCTACCAAATATTCCATTGATTAATCGAGTAATCGTATAAAACATAATATTTTTAGTGAAAGTGCAATTATCGCGGAAAGAGCGTGTGCGTTAGAGGATTGCAATGCTCATAAGAAAGGTAGTTATGACATCAACTTTCATCATGCCACCAAAGACATTAGTGTCCGAGAGCTGAATAGCTCCTATGTTACCTGCTTCTGCTACTACACTGGCAATGTTAGGCAAGCTAGCGTGAAGAGGAGTGTGCAGAGGCGCACCGTCTCCGCCAGCGAATTGCTAATGAGCGACTGGAGCTCTGCAGAAGAAAAGCCCCTCTCATTATTTATTTTTTCCGTTCCGCAAAACCAAAACTGTGCTTATTCCTCCTTCTACCGTGGTGACATAAGCGAGTTGTGTCACCTTGAAAATAATCTGTGCGAAACGGTGACGATTTGAGAAAATTCCTTGATCATTCCTCAGCCCTAGACTGTGGATCATATTTGGATTTGGATTTGGAGACAATGACTTGTTAAGCTACTCTTCTCTTTTTTTACAGTCTTAAAAGGTGTTCCACAAGGTTCAGTTATAGGCCCAGTTTTATTTACTATTCATACAAAACATTATCGTATTGGTTCTTTGCCCAATCGACACACTATTAATGTCAACCACATTGTTGAGCCAAAGCTGTACAACTTGCCGTCAAAAATTAACATTTAACAACCCACAAGATAACTTGTTCTCAGTGCTGACAAAACAAAAGTCATGCTGCTCTTTAGAGCCGAAGCAACAGAACAAAAGACATTCATATTAAAACCAGGAACTATGTCAGGAGACGGATTAATCTAACATTAATGGCTCTGTAAGACAACATTCAACTTAAATCCCAGTTTAGAGTGTTTGTTCTTAAATACGCTATGTACTCTGTTTACAGATCGGGTTACTGTGAAATGAAAGTTCAATATTTTCCAGTGCTGCATGTCTTTTAAAAAGGAGATGTCACTGACTGACTATGAATGTGTAACCCTGTAAAGATCTCGCCTCTTTATCAATATGAATCCTTTTTTACAGGAGACACAAAATAGATAGAGCAATAGAAAGAGTGGATACAGTAATAACGGTCCTCCAGGTCTGTGCTTTGTTGCTTGTACAAGCTTGTTCTTAACAAGCTGACAAGCACCTTGGGTCCTCCATTGATCAAACAAACCAGACCCCTGCTCCACTGTTCACTTGGCAGTTCGCAGCTCAAAACAGACAGTTTATTATCTCATTGTGAGGTTTTCTTTATTTCTTACTGCATCATTACATTTATCCTTTGTCTACTTCACTGTCTGTTTCCAATATTTGTACCTGTTTGCTTTTTAGCTGATTGGCTGGAAACAAATAGATGGTTTTCAAAGTAAAGGTCATGGTTCTGAATGAAAAGCTTTTAAAATGATGATGATGAGCCCGGGAAACCTAAATGGGAGTAAGGTTGAGTAGAACTGCTGGGATATTACACTTTTTTATTCAAGCCAAAAGAATAAGTAAATGCTGTAACGTTAAAGGTCTGACAAAGGCTGTCCAGAGTTTGTAATAGTTTTTGTTTTTTTCTTTATCCATAAAAGCTTTTTCTGAAAAAGTAGTTTTATTGTGTTTGAGATGGTTGCAATTTTTTTTTCTCAAACCAACTTTTTCAGAACATTTTTTTTAAACTCCAGTAAAGGTCATGCTAAATAATTTATGGACAAGGTGTAGATCTAAATTCCAGTTGGGTTTTTGCCCCCCTGCGATGCTCTTTTTCACCCACTGAGCATTTTTTGGTCCAAAAGAGGTCCAATAGACATCTAAATGTATTCTACATAACTGGTCTAAAATCAGGCTACCACAGGTCTAAAAATGAAAGTTTTTTAGACGTCTAAATTTAGACCAAGTTCAGACTAAATCTAAATATGTGCTATATCTACACTACAATGTATATTGCTCAACAGCTATCATAATTGTTTTTGTTAAGTGCTTGGAGATCAGTTATGCAACTCACAGTTGCTTTTTAAAAGAAATAGTTATCGAATAATTGGCTAAGGTGCAATGTCTAAATTCTGTCTAAAAATATACAGAATCTGGACGGTTTAAATTAGGTTTTAAAGAGAACTAGACGTTTAATAACCATCTATTGCTCAGTGGGAATTGATGGTTATTGATGTTTTACGCACCAAAGCAATCCCTCTAAACACCAGAAACTACAGTAACTCTCCAAAGCGACGGGAACATGCTTACAGAATGCATGTGGCCATATTCGATACAGTTGTGTGATCCATGGCTTGTAAATTGGATACTGTTTAGTCAGTAGAACTACATGTGGGCACGCCGGTTGGTGCCATTTATGGTTCGTCGGGATGGGCTCTATGGAGCTCCCTCAAGGTTGAAAAGAAAATAAAGAAAAACTCCGTACATGCAGAGTAGGTAAGTATTTAAAACCAAGTTGACGACTTTGGGTGAATTATTATGTGGCTCAAAAAAAGAAAAAGAAAAATTGTGCTCGTAAACTTCAACAGTAGTCATAACATCTCACCACAACCTCTTTTCACTCGGCCAAACAACAGTTCACTTCCACTCTTCTAAACTATCCTATCCAATACTGATTACACATATCATTGCAGGAGTCGTCTCGCATGCTCATTTATTCAAATCCCTCTGATGCCTTCAGTTGATCCACCAGCAAGTCTTCCATTGTCGCATTTCTTTTATGGCTGCTTGTTTAACAAATCCTATTTACTTTCTAGAGTGGCGTTTAAGCTGTATGAGTAGATAATTACTTCCTCTGCATACTTAACTTTTTAGAGCTTGTCTGTCTTTATAGTTCTTTCTCAGACTCAGAGATGACTCCTCTCTCCTAATGATGGAGTACTCCTTATGTCTCCTCTTACTTCCTCATTTCTCTTTGTTCCTCTCCACATCTACTACTACTATTGTTGACCTACTCTTTTCTATTGTTAGGGAATTCACAGTTTTTTGCAGCATTTAGTCTGCTGTTCAAACTCTGACCTGTAAACATATCCTCAATCAAATACATGAATCAGTCCTAACGAAAGACACTGAAAGAAGAAAACTGACGACTTCTTTCACCTCTCACTCGAGGTCTGCCTGGAGGCTCCAAACATCCAACAAATACTGCACTTGGAACGATTTCTGTCAGAGCGGTGAAGCGCCTCGGGTGTAATTTGAGAAAGACTGCCATTATCTTGACAGTTTTATGCAAACGGGTAAAAGCAGGTGTTTAAGTTAGTCACAGAAAAGGAACCCTGATTGGTTTAATGACGGATCAGCGGTATGAACCAGCAGTGTTGATGTCAAACTCATTAAGCACTCTTTGTCAAGCATGTTTTTGTCACTTCTACATAATTTTTTCAAATCGTAGAGTTTTGAATAGTCTAAACCAAGTTGGATTATAGTGTACCCTTGACATGTTAATTTGTCACTCTTAAGGGACTGTCGGTTTTGAATCCAAAGTTTGAACTGTAATGAGCCTGTCAGACTCACAATAATAAAGTATACCAGCACTTTTGGCCACCTGAAGTAGCTTACCGTGATCCAGCGGAGAGAGCTGGCATTGTAACCTGGCGGACATGGTCAAGCAAAGCAGCACTGAGCCAACACTTGCGACACCAAAACCTCTGAGAGGTGCAGTGTGAAGGTATTTTGGGTTAAATTTGCAATCAGGAATTCTTTATATGTATTTCGTATCTGTCCCCACGAGGGATGGGCATGATTAATCTATGATCGATTAATTAATCGTTGTGAATTACGTCAATTGTGCAAACTTTTGATCGATCAAACGTTTTTAAAAAAAGGCTGACATCGTGCGTCCATCCTAAAGCTACTTTCCAGGAAAGATCAACATCTGCTGATCGGCAGGGATACTAGGGCTGCAGCTATCGATTATTTTAGTAATCGAGTACTCTATCGATTAATCTGTCGATTAATCGAGTAATCGGATAAGAAATGTTTTGCTCTCACTGTAATACTTTGCATTGAATCACGTTTGCCTCAGAGCGGACTTAATGCATGGACCGGGTGTTTTCTTTTAAGGTGCTGCAGCATTGACGACGTGCTGTTGTGAAATGCCAACTCCGCCTTACAGTAAACGCACTGCACGGCGTTTTCTTTCCTTTTCAGTGTGTAATGGTCCCACACTTTAGACACTTTCTGCCGTTTCCTCTGCGTGTCATCTCTTTCTTCCTCTCTCTGTCTGTCCTCGTTTCCCTCCATGATTGAACCAAACGCGCCATAGACATAATAAAAGATAGACCCCGCATCGGCCGCTACCACGAATGGGCGCTGTCGAGAAATGCGGCCGCCATCTTGGTCCGGTCATCCGCCTCACTCTGCACCGCTGTTTAACCGGCGGAATGAAGTCTGAGCGCATTAATGAATCATAGTTCGCTCAATACTACGTAATTTTCTTCTCTGCAAACGCCATTCAAAGAGGCATGATAGAGGCCATATTTTTTTTTGACGTTTTCAAATACTCAGAATGAATAAAATGATATTTTAGAACATGGCAGCAGTGGCTGTATTATAGTATAACAATTAATCAAGGATATATTTAGGTTTAGAGCTAGGTTCCTGCTATGTCTCAATAATTATTAATAACTGGCGGTATTAATAGGCCAATTCAATATATATTGATTTGATTATAATTTTTTATATAGTTTAATTTTATTTATCCATTTGTAGACACACACAAATAATGTCATATAGAAGCACTATTTTAATAACTGGAAAATACACACAAATATATAGCCTACATATCAAAAAGATTTAAACACAAGAACAGCATGACAGGACAGCATCTAAACTACATATCAATTTGCTTGTTGGCTACACAGCACAGAGGAATCACTTGCTGCGAATTTCTCCCTCTAACAGCAATCTCCCACTTCTTCCTCAAGTTTTTGTCCTTAGGAAATCTTCAAAATGAAACAGGAGATCACCACAAAGAAATCTTTAATAAAACAGATAATGAAACAGAGCTCACTTTCTTCCTTTTTCTTTCTATTTTATTTCTTAACGTTTCTTAGAACCTCTCTCAAACAAAAGTTTTTCAATCTAATGCAAATCTGTTGATAATCGACCAAAGTTGCTATTATTGTGAATAAGCTAGCTGTTCGCAAATGCTGTTTCCTTTTTGGAGTTGACCGATAGTCTTCCTCTTTGGCCTACAAATGACTCTACAGTCAAGTGTAATGTTTAAAAAACGTTTAATCATAACTGTGAAAAGTTATTTCTTGAGCCCTGTTCTCTGCTGTCCGCCTGTTGGCACAGGAATACGCCGCACAGTGCTCCGGCATCGCTGAATGAATGAATATGATTGACCGGAGCGTATGGGAAGCTTGACCTGACCAAGATGGCGGCCGCATTTCTCGCTGCGCAGCACCCCCAGCGGGGTCTACCCTTTTATTATGTCTATGAAACGCGCGGCAGCGGAAGGAGCGGAAAGAGCACGCTGCTGCGCAACAGAAATAACCGTCCGTGTCAAACACCGTGCGCTGCACATGGTTGCGGATTTAAACGATTCCTCGAGGCATATAATTTGCCTCGAGGAATTTTATTAATCGAGTTACTCGAGTTACTCGAGTAATCGTTTCAGCCCTAAGGGATACCCTCTTTGTCCAGTCAGTGTGTGTGTGTTGAAGAAACGCAGTGACTATCATCACGTGTAAGGATTTTGACATTCTACAAGGGCAGTGATACAGCGTAACGTAAAAATACATAAAGAAAGCAGATGAAGTCCATTTTGAGAAGAAAAACTGTTGGGGTTTGCCACTAACACTGCGATGCCATGTCCAAGTAAAACACGACAATGATCCCAAAGATCTACCACTTGTTCCACATACATCCGACCTAGGTTAATGAATCCACAGAGTGCTTGCAGTCTCAACCTACCATCAGCTCCTTGCTAGCAAGGAGGAAAGGTAGGGTGACCAGACGTTCCTGATCTCAGGGGACAGTCTCCGTGTTGGATGACTTGTCCCTGGCTTCAGTTGTCCCTGGAAATGTCCCCGATTTTCGCGTTTCATGAATGAGAAAAACATGTTGCGTGTAGACTTGAACAACTGTTATTATGATAGCCGGGCAGGTAGGAAGCACGAGTGAGCATGTAGAGTGCAGTCCTGAACAACAGTTACGGGGGCCACGTTTTTTAATGAGGAAAAACGTGTACTTTCTGCCATTCGCATAAAAAAAACGATCAAATTGACGATTGATCGTTAATTTATATGATTAATCAATCAAGGGACTTTTCTTAAAATACCCATTCCTAGTCTCCATGTCTTTATTCTTCTTGACCACCCCAGTGTTTTCATTGGGATCTAGTCCTCGCGATCCTCAGAAACGTATAACTTATTAGGGACCTTGCACAGAGCGAGAACCTCATTATCAGCCCTGGGTGGAAGGAGACAAGGGTGAGTCTCTTGGCTTTGTGAGATTAATAATGCAACAGTGGTGGAGCAAGGAGTCGGTCATTTGGAAGGTGAAGCATACCTATACGTTGCTTTGTTGTTCCTTTGGGGATTGTCTCAGGCAACTTAAAATAGTAAAGACAGGGGAAGTGTAGACAACCTGTTCAACTGTGTGTGAAACCTCCCAGCCACTGGGGCTGTTGAAAAAGACCATGGGGCTTGTCAGATATTCATCAGTTCCAGCAAACTGTAAAGTTCAGCTGCAGGGGGAAAAAATTCAACACACACACAGTAAAAAATGAAAATAGCATCTATTCTCATTCATTGTGTGAAAGGAATCAATAAAACCCAACGGAAACGCTAAGGATCTTAGAAAACATCCACAAAAACTTAGGGTTGTGTAAACAAAGTCATTATCTGAGGCTTTTCAATTCAGTGGATGTCCAGGGAAGCATTTCATCCCAGAGCACTCCTTCAAATAGACTACTTTTGTGATGGTTCCACAAACAGAAATTGTCTTTTTGTGTTGTGCTCTAAAATAGCAGTATTTGATTACCACTGAGCTGGAAGGATGCTCAGAGAGAAATATATACAACCGTTGTGTAACATTTCTGTCTTTAAGAAGTTGGGGAGCTTAAGCATGATTCTCTGCTGTGAAATTGCTTCTGACCTCCGGTGGCATAGGAGAAAGTAGCTCGAACTCTCGGCACAGGAATGCTCGGATTGATATGATACACAGCGGAGCCAAGAAGCCATTTAATTAAATTCATTCCAATTCTCTGAGCATCTCTGTGGATCTGCTGCGGGTCGGGTATTAATTTGAATACAATCTGCATATTATTGTAAATGACGTGGGGGACACATCATTCTAAACATCTAACAGTCATATTCACGATCAAATATGATGAAGAAAGGAAGACATTTGACACATTTAGAGACCTCCAGGGTTAAAGCTATTTTAGATGAATCCCCTTCCCATTAAATCAATTAATCTACTCATCATCCCTGAGACGTATAATGTTCATATTCATTCAAGATTGTTCTCGGTCATAGAAAAAAATCCCCGTCTTTGATGAATAGGGTTAATGAGTAGAAATAGAGATCAGTGCTAATGGGCTGTTATGGTTGTAAAATCATCAATATTCTGGACTGATATGTCCTCTGAGAGCAATAGAATTGATAACTGTAACAATGAAATCAATGTTTCTTTATTTTGGAGGGCATTCGTCACAGCCTCTATTGACATTTGAGTGGATAAGAGTTCACAGGGTTCAGGAGGTAATTCTCAGTTATGAATGAAACAGTTGAGAGGTGATGGTGTCAGCTGAGTATCCGAGGCTCTGATCACATTTATAGTCCGAATATGATATCAAAGCACCTGGCTTTGGAATATTCAGTTTGAAGAGGGAGAGCAATTAGAGTTAATTGTGGGTGTGAGGGCAGATTGTTGAATGGAACATCAGTCAGTGATAATAAGTCATTAGCCATCAGATCACGAAGACACTGGGAGAAGATATTTTCACCAATTAAAAAAAAAAATGCTGTTTTAATGCACCACTCTTGATTTTGATAAGAATAACGCACAATGTTGGTTTCAGGTGATTCACAAATGAGTGATTTTTAAAATCAGATCTGTATTTAAAAGAAATGACCGATTTAGGGATGCCATTGGTTTTATTTAGAAGAAGCGGACTGTTGCCTTCAAATCTGCAGAGGTTATTTGTTTCAAAAGAAGAAAACTTCTACTAGGTGGCAGTAGCTCAGGAGGTAGAGCGGTCGTCCAATGACCGGAAGGTTGGCGGTTTGATTCCCCCCTAATCCAAGTCTGTCCGTTGTGTCCTTGGGCAAGACACTTAACCCACCTTGCTCCCAGTGTGTGTCCTCCACTGGTGTATGATTGTGAGTGTTGTGTGGTGGTGGTCGGAGAGGCCGTAGGCGCAGAATGGCAGCCACGTTTCCACCACCACCAAAGTGTGACTGTGTGAGCGAATGAATGATGTATCCAATGTAAAGCGCTTTGAGGGTCTCTGATAAAGCGCTATATGAAATCTGATGCATTATTATTAATTATTGTAGAAAATTTTATTTTAAACATCAAATGGTTAGAACAAATGTAAAACTAATGTGTATTTCTGTTGTTGGTGTGAAAATGTGGAATTCTTCGACAGCAGAAGAAAAGGACTGCAGAAACATTTTTCAGTTTCAAGGTCCTTACACACTAGGACCAATGCAAATATACAACGCAAAATTTCGAAATATTCGAGGCGAATTTTGACGCGCCTGACTATACACATCAAGCCCGATGCGATTTTGCGGGGAAAAAAGACGCGTCCGGGGTGGAAGCGAGAAGACTGACACAACACCAGACTGAGTGTTACATTGAAATAAAAAAAAAATAATAAAATGAAATGATGTGAACTTTTTAAAAAGAGAATCTAGGATACATTTCTTTCCTCTGGCTTGATAGAAGTCTTTTAGCCTTTCTGCTTCAATTATTTTATTTTTTTAAATTACAAAGAGGTACCAACATGGCTGTTCAAAATAAAATTTAAGTCATCGTGTGTCCCAACTCAGAGGCTGCACTCTTCAAAAGACAGTTCAATTTCAAAGACTCCTTTAAATATGTCAGAAAATTGTGTCCGACCTTCCCCGTCCTTGAGGGATGCATTGGTTGTGTCATTTAATCAATCAATCTTCACTCACGAGCTCCATCTCATTCCAACTATGATCTCAAGACACTTTACCATGATGAAATTTAAATAAGTCAATTATGTTCGATCAATATCAGTTGTGTTATGGTGGGTTTTTTTTTAAATTGTGACGTGTGTCGCAGACGTCTCTCTAAACCTGCATTTTCTAAGAACCAGCGGGTGCCAATTCTGGTTGAACAGTACCCTTCTTGCTGATGTGTTCGTGGTCTTCGTAGCGTAAGTGTAGCTGGGTGCTGACGTACCTGATTGATGGAG